ATAAGAGTGTGTGTAGGTCCGACATGTTGGCCCTTAAGCCACGCAAGTTCCATTGTAAAAACGTCAGTGTCGTGCTAGGTATGCTTGTATGTGGGGTGTACGGTTAAGATCCATCGGTATAGCTTACATCTGCTTTAAGCGTTCACCTAGGATTTTGCATTGAACGAATCTCCCTGGCGACGCTCTACTTCAGTGGAGGTAAGCCGGACCCTTGGCCGAGCTTTGTGACCTCCACCCTCCGTAGGCGACGTCGGCCAAGGAGGGGCACGCTTTGTTGCACGACCTGCCACCGGGGACTGCAGGGTAGGCCGACCCGAAACCTCGTCTCCAGGTGGAGGAATGGGAGGCGGACCCATTGACCCTCCCGGTGAGTGGGGCGGAGTCGACAGCGGAAGCCGGCCCCCCGTCCGCTGTGCAGACGCCGACCTGGCGGCGGGCCCTGCAGGGCCAAGGTCCAGAGAACCCGGACGAATAACAGTTTCAGACGGGCGGCTCCGGGAGGGAGCGACGACTGGGGGATGCCGAACCTTGTCCGGCTCCTGTGAGCCGGGGGGACCCGCGCTCCCGGCAGGGCCACTAGCTGGGGAGCCAGAGGGGGGCAGCTCTCGTAGCGCCCCTGTACCAGCGACGACAGATCCCGTCGTAGCTGGTATGGATGGAGGGGGAGGTGGAGCCCGGGAGGGCGTGTCTTCAGCACGGGCTGGGTCGGGGTGCGATGATGGGGGGCGAAATCCACGACCTCGCTGGACCGTGGTCCATCCCCCGTTCCCGGGTCGCAGCCCAGCCCGAGCTCTCTGGCAGCTCCACCAGGGGGTTCCAACCCCATAGTCTGAGCTTCTCTAGCGGTGGCCAATGCCGCAGGTGGATTCTTTTCCGGAGAATCCGACTTCCGGTACGACGGAACAGCAGAGCCAGTTGATACAAGTGTGCTTGGTATCAGCTGTACAAACTCGCCTACAGTTATGCCTTTGAAATCATTAAGTCCATTCAGTTTCAGTACCTCATTGGCTGCGAGTGTTACTTGGGCTAAATTTATTGCCGGATTGGTAAGGGCGTCTTTGTATGTCCTTGTGGTGGTCGCATCGTTGTGTCGGAGTTGGGCCTCCCGAAACGAGACTCCTTCCTTCACTTTTATGTTCAGGACAGCTTTCGCTGACAAGAAGGAGTGGCAGCTGCGATACGACGCCACGTGACCCTGACCACAGTTGACGCATTTCACGGTTTCTGATTTACACTGAGCGTTGGTGACCTATTTCCGCACACCTTCCGTATCTAACTTCTTTCCAGCACTTGTCCGTGAAGTAGCCATACGTCTGGCATCGGTAGCATCGGACTGGATCGGGTACATAAACCCTAACAGGAACCGACTGATATCCCACGCGGACCCTATCTGGCACTCTCGCAGAGCAAAACGTCAGAATAATTGAATCAGTATCTGTCAGCTCTCCTCTCTCTCTCTCCTCTTGATACGTCTCACCGCCGTTACCCCTTCCTCACACAAGCCCTCAGCAACATCCTCATCACTCACACCGCGAAGGTCCCGGCAAGTAATCACACCCTTGGAGTAGTTCTTAGAGGTGTGAGGGTGCGGGCGAACCCGTATCGGTGCACCTTGCATGTCGTTTTAAGCATGCGCTGGATTTCGCGTTCGTCTGTTAGATGCACTTCTATGCCTCCGTCCGCATACGAAAAGACATCCTTGGGCGTCCCGATCTTGGAAAATGCTTGTTGGCGCTGAAATGGGTTTAGTCGGAGCGGTACTGTCCTTCCTTGGTCATCTACTTTGGCGGATCTTACAACCAGAAACTGGGGTAGTGGACGACGGTCGGGGTTTGGGGGGTTGGTTGATGATAAAGTGTCCATAGGTATATGTTTATATTCGGCGCGCTGATTCCCCGCCCACCACGGAGCCCAACATGGGGACGGTCCACTTCTAAGAGAGGAGCCGCCAGGGCTACCAGCACGCTATACGCAGATCAGTGTGCCAAAAGAGTTGCTGCGAGAGCCACCGGGCACGAGTCTGCGGGCGCCAGTGCCTCGGTTCGCAGGGGCTAACCAGGCACCCTGGTAACAAACCGAGGTACGGTCCCTTAATGATGTCAGGAGGCAGACACTGCACCCGGCAGCTCCCTCCTCAACACCCGTCACATGACCTGCTTGCCTCCAAGCCAGTGTCACGAAACCACGATGCCTGACAAGCCGGTTTCCTCGTGTGGAGACTTCACGAGGCATCCGCAGGATCACAAATTCGGGCCAAAGCCACGTGTTGGTAAGCTGCCCCGACTGACCCGTACGGCAACTCCCTCAGTGACCAGGATAATTTCATCGCTACCTGCGGATCCAACGGGGTACGGCGAGACCCAGATAAGACAGAAAAGCTGGGGCCGAGGGGTTGCTAATCCCTACTCTGAACGAGTCAGAGCCCTTGCGGGAGGCACGTTCCGTCTGGCCCCTCCTCTTTGGCCGGAAGGGGCGCTTTACAAGCCTCCCCAACTGCCCGCAGGATCATTGGGGCACGCAATCCCCCCCCCCCCCACCACGGAAAGGTGGTGCCCCACGGGGGAGGGGGGGGGGGGGGGGGGCGTCATAGTACGCTGGCCCGGTCACAAAGGCTTAAGGTTCTCATACCTAATGTGTTATTTGAAATTATCATGCGAAATATTATATAAAAGCCAAGTTTCACCGAAATGCAAACAGTTCAGATACTGTGTCGGGAATTCGCAACTGCTTTGGTTAGAACCTTCAACAGGCCTTCATTTCCAACTATATAGGTTTTTTCAATTAGCATGCAAAACCCAATCTAACTGCAAAACTTGGTACTGGCGGGTTAGCGCGTCCCCTGGCATAAGTGTGCGCCGTACCAAACGGTGTCTGCATGTCATACCGCTACTTTCAAAAGGGCCAATATTTGGGATGGCCTGTGGCCAAAACTGAATGGGCCACCCACCCGCCCGACATGGACCGGCAGACGTGAGCCAGCACTCGTTCGGTCAGTGGGCACGAAGGTCGCATTCACGTTTTCTTGTTTTTGGTTCGTTCGTGGGGCTGGATTCAGATTTGTCTGCCGAAGTCTGACGATGGCCTCACAACACGCCACCTTCCTGCAAGCCGGAGGATCCATGGCTTGCGTTTGGGCTCAAGGTAGTCAACTCCACGCAATTTCGCACATTTGTTCCAAAAGGACCATTCGCTCGCTCGAAGTTAATTCGTGCCGATCATGTGCTGCTGCAAGAACAACCTGCCAAAATCTAGTCCAAGCCAACGGCACGCCATTCGCAAAGTTGCCGGAAACAATACGGGCTCTTGAGAATTCACAACCTAAATGACACTCACGACGTCAATACCGCAGAGCCAGACAGGCATCCCCTGAACCCGCTCTGCTAGGCAAACCGGATAACGTGCGGCCCGCACACGCTGCAGCGCCTGGCCCTTCAGCCGAGTACGTGAAGACCGTCATCCCAGCGAGGCTTTCGCGAGGATGCCGCTCGTCGTCCTGCCTCTCCTAGAACACACTCGAGGCGCGCCGCGTCCCTTAGTTCGCACCCCTGACTCGCAGCCCAGCACAACAAAGCCAGCGTCAATTCGCGGTCCGCTTTATTACTGGAGTGCCTCCGAGCGCGCCGCGTCGTAATGCCAACTTCGCACGGCGCGGTGGCGCCAACACACTATGCAAACAACACGGCACTCCCAAACGCAGCAGGGCGCGCGTGTGGCGCCGGCGCGCGCCGCACAGATGTCAGGTCACGTTCGGGGTGTCCCGCCGACTGGACGTTCAGGCCGGGCGGGAGCTGCGAGCGACGGGCCGCAGCCCACCGCCATCGGCGGGCTGCGGACTCCGGTCTCCGTCTCTGGTCTTCGGTGACTGGGTCTCGTGACGCAGCACGCGACTGTGCACGGCGTGACAGGTCTCGCGGCACGCGCGACACGATCACGGCACGACAGGTCTCGTGCCCGCGCACGTGGCGGCATACGGCGTAACAGGTCTCACGCCACGGTACGTGGCGGCATACGGCGTAACATGTCTCACGCCACGCCACGTCGCGGTATACGGCGTAACAGGTCTCACGCCTCAGCACTTGACGGTTACGGTACGTGGCAGCGGTGCGCGGCGTGACAGGTCTCACGCCATGGGCCATAACGGTACAATGTGTGAAAATCAGTCACGGTTGGGAGCAGCGCCGGCGGCGCGCATCCACGGATGGGCGAACTGTCATCAGGCGACCAGCACCCCTCCTCGCGTAGACTAAAGATGACTCACCTCTTCTATCAGAACAGAGTTAACTTTCATCCAAAAGGATCTCATCCTCTTACAAATGATATCCGTCCGACGTTGGATGAACAGTTAGTCCTGGTCCTAAGTCCCAAATTTGAACGGTCTCGTCCAAAAAGAGGTCACGAGAAGCTTGGGCTCACTGGCACATGCCATAACTCGTCCAGACATGCTAAAACTGTCCGCTCTGTACAGCAACGCATGTTTTTAGACCCGCCTGAACACAATGCGGATTTGGCAGCCGTCTAAAACAGTACGCGCGATGCCGTGCATGAAACAATTTTACGCCAAAGTAACGGGCAGATCGAAACGAGAGAATTCTCCCATTTCCTCTGCCTGCCTCTCCTGCCTGAGAGAATCTGATCAGCTCAATTCACGACTCGGCCAAACGTCGTACAGTCAACAATCCTCTACACTGGCAATAAGCAGAAGCAGCGGTTCGGCGCAAGAGCCGATGCCACACGAAACGAGTATCTTGAACAGGACCACCACTGCATGACGGTCGGATTGGTTTTCCGCGACAATCTCGGGCGCGCGGACACCAGCCAAATATCATAGCGGCGACCCGGAGACCACAGCGAGGCCCCGGGTCCAAGCAAAAAGCGTAAGAAGTCCAGACCAAGCGAAACGACCGCGCGCAGCGGCGGGGGAACGAGACCGCCCTCGCTTCGCCAGCGCGCACGACCTACGCCAAGCGGACCCGCGCCAACGCGTGCCGCGCGCCGCGAGCGGCGGCGGCGGCGGCGGCGACAGGTCGGCCCGAGGAGGCGCCGGGGCCGCTACTGGGCGCTCTCGGAGTCGTCGGCTGGGAAGAATTTGGGCCAGCCGGAGTCGGTGGTGGCGCGCGGCGCCCACGGGCTGCTGGCGGCGCTGGTCGCGAACGGGCTGACCAGCGGCGCCGGCGGGCGCGCCGGATCTGCCGCCGCCGGCGACCAGGCGCCGGCTAGCTGGCCGTCCCACAGCGAGCTGCCGGCGCGACCCGGCGCCGGCGCCGGCTCCCAGAGCGAGGCGGACGCCGCGAACGGGCTGCTGCCAAAGCCCGGCCAGTCGTCCATCGAGCCTGCCGGCCGAGGCGGCGCTGAGCGGGCGGCACGCATGTCTAACTCGCGACGGCTCACGTACTGCGCTCTCATCACAAACACACATCACGTGGCAGATGACCCGCAGTAGACACGGCACAAGACTGGCGCAGTCGGACCGCGCAAGGCACGCCTCACCCGACGCACAGCTGACAGGAGACAAAGGTCACGGCTGCGAGGGTGCGGAGCACAGGCAGGCCCGCCACTCACCGGCCCGGGCGCGCTGCTGGCACTGCTGTTCGTACTGGTGCACCTTGAGCCGGCGGTCAGCCTGCAGCGTCTGCATGAAGGTGGGCGCTGGTGGCGGCGCTGCCGACCAGAACGACGGCCATAGGCTGGACGCCGTGTTGGCCAGCGAGTGCAGGCCGAAGCTGGACGGCTCATCGACGGGCGGCATGGGCTGGGGGACAGCGCGCATCAGTGGCGACAGCGGCGTCGCGGCCTGACGCGACTCGGCCCGGCGATGCCAAGTTGACCACCAGCTATCGAACCAACGCCAGCCACCACAGCTGATCACCAGCTATCGAACCAACGCCAGCCACCACAGCTGATCACCAGCTATCGAACCAACGCCAGCCACCACAGCTGATCACCAGCTATCGAACCAACGCCAGCCACCACAGCTGGTCACCAGCTATCGAACCAACGCCAGCCACCACAGCTGATCACCAGCTATCGAACCAACGCCAGCCACCACAGCTGATCACCAGCTATCGAACCAACGCCAGCCACCACAGCTGACCACCAGCTATCGAACAAATGCCAGCCACCACAGCTGATCACCAGCTATCGAACCAACGCCAGCCACCACAGCTGATCACCAGCTATCGAACCAACGCCAGCCACCACAGCTGATCACCAGCTATCGAACCAACGCCAGCCACCACAGCTGACCACCAGCTATCGAACCAACGCCAGCCACCACAGCTGACCACCAGCTATCGAACCAACGCCAGCCACCACAGCTGACCACCAGCTATCGAACCAACGCCAGCCACCACAGCTGACCACCAGCTATCGAACAAATGCCAGCCACCACAGCTGATCACCAGCTATCGAACCAACGCCAGCCACCACAGCTGACCACCAGCTATCGAACCAACGCCAGCCACCACAGCTGACCACCAGCTATCGAACAAATGCCAGCCACCACAGCTGATCACCAGCTATCGAACCAACGCCAGCCACCACAGCTGATCACCAGCTATCGAACCAACGCCAGCCACCACAGCTGATCACCAGCTATCGAACCAACGCCAGCCACCACAGCTGACCACCAGCTATCGAACCAACGCCAGCCACCACAGCTGATCACCAGCTATCGAACCAACGCCAGCCACCACAGCTGGTCACCAGCTATCGAACCAACGCCAGCCACCACAGCTGATCACCAGCTATCGAACCAACGCCAGCCACCACAGCTGATCACCAGCTATCGAACAAATGCCAGCCACCACAGCTGACCACCAGCTATCGAACCAACGCCAGCCACCACAGCTGATCACCAGCTATCGAACCAACGCCAGCCACCACAGCTGGTCACCAGCTATCGAACCAACGCCAGCCACCACAGCTGATCACCAGCTATCGAACCAACGCCAGCCACCACAGCTGACCACCAGCTATCGAACAAATGCCAGCCACCACAGCTGATCACCAGCTATCGAACCAACGCCAGCCACCACAGCTGATCACCAGCTATCGAACCAACGCCAGCCACCACAGCTGACCACCAGCTATCGAACCAACGCCAGCCACCACAGCTGATCACCAGCTATCGAACCAACGCCAGCCACCACAGCTGGTCACCAGCTATCGAACCAACGCCAGCCACCACAGCTGATCACCAGCTATCGAACCAACGCCAGCCACCACAGCTGGTCACCAGCTATCGAACCAACGCCAGCCACCACAGCTGACCACCAGCTATCGAACCAACGCCAGCCACCACAGCTGATCACCAGCTATCGAACCAACGCCAGCCACCACAGCTGGTCACCAGCTATCGAACCAACGCCAGCCACCACAGCTGATCACCAGCTATCGAACCAACGCCAGCCACCACAGCTGGTCACCAGCTATCGAACCAACGCCAGCCACCACAGCTGGTCACCAGCTATCGAACCAACGCCAGCCACCACAGCTGGTCACCAGCTATCGAACCAACGCCAGCCACCACAGCTGGTCACCAGCTATCGAACCAACGCCAGCCACCACAGCTGATCACCAGCTATCGAACCAACGCCAGCCACCACAGCTGATCACCAGCTATCGAACAAATGCCAGCCACCACAGCTGATCACCAGCTATCGAACCAACGCCAGCCACCACAGCTGATCACCAGCTATCGAACAAATGCCAGCCACCACAGCTGACCACCAGCTATCGAACCAACGCCAGCCACCACAGCTGATCACCAGCTATCGAACCAACACCAGGCACCACAGCTGACCACCAGCTATCGAACCAACGCCAGCCACCACAGCTGATCACCAGCTATCGAACCAACGCCAGCCACCACAGCTGATCACCAGCTATCGAACAAATGCCAGCCACCACAGCTGACCACCAGCTATCGAACCAACGCCAGCCACCACAGCTGATCACCAGCTATCGAACCAACGCCAGCCACCACAGCTGATCACCAGCTATCGAACAAATGCCAGCCACCACAGCTGACCACCAGCTATCGAACAAATGCCAGCCACCACAGCTGACCACCAGCTATCGAACCAACGCCAGCCACCACAGCTGATCACCAGCTATCGAACCAACGCCAGCCACCACAGCTGATCACCAGCTATCGAACCAACGCCAGCCACGATAGCTGACCACCACCTATCGAACAAATGCCAGCCACCACAGCTGATCACCAGTTATCGAACCAACACCAGGCACCACAGCTGACCACCAGCTATCGAACAAATGCCAGCCACCACAGCTGACCACCAGCTATCGAACCAACGCCAGCCACCACAGCTGGTCACCAGCTATCGAACCAACGCCAGCCACCACAGCTGGTCACCAGCTATCGAACCCACGCCAGCCACGATAGCTGACCACCACCTATCGAACAAATGCCAGCCACCACACCTGGTCACCAGCTATCGAACAAATGCCAGCCACCACAGCTGACCACCAGCTATCGAACCAACGCCAGCCACCACCAGCGAAACCGCGAGTGCAAGTGCCGCACGTTGGTAGTGCTGTTCCGCCTGCCCTGCCAGACGGCGTCCTGAGCACATCCCTCGCTCCCCGTCGTTGGGCGCAACGTGATCCGTGCTGACCTTGACGGCGACCTGGGGCGGCGGCGGCGGCGGCGCGCAGAGGTCGGGCTCGGTCGGGCGGACAGCGGCCAGGCCAAGCGGTGGCGAGGGGCGCCGGTGGCGCGGACCGATCGGGCCTGGGTCGGCGGCCGGCTGCTTCATCTCGGGCGCAATCTTGCCCACCGGCGGCGCACGCGTCCGCTGACGCTCGCCCTGACCTGGGGGCGCGGGGTCACAGGCAGGGTCACCACCACCGCTGCAGGGCAGCGCACCGGCCCGCTCCGGGGCGCCACACTGCGCCAACACAAAGGCAGTGTGGACGGCGCTCATCTCTGTGCGTGACACACCACTCTCGCACATCGCCGGCACGGCAGTGCTGGCGACCAGGACAAGCCCACGGAGTCCACCGACACCCACGGCGGCTGACCCACTGACCTGACACGACGCTGGCGAACGAGGTGCGGGCGGGCAGGCCGACGCCGCGCGCGAAACTCTCGGTCTGCTGCGAGAGCAGACCGAACGCCTCGTCGGCGCCGGCACCGGACGGCGCGTCCCAGACGGGCGGCGCGCTCTCGGAGGAGACGGACGAGCTGGGCGACACGGTGCCGCCCACGGAGACCGCCACTGGCGCTGTGCGGCGCCCGCCAGGCCCGTTAGCGGCAGTCGCATACGCAACACACGATCGCAGAACCTCGCCTTAATCAGGAGGAATCGACAGGCAGGTCAGACCATCCCTGCATTTAAAATTACCGGAGGAAATTCAATACATAACGGACAGTAAGCTGGGCTGCAGAAAGTTGTCGCGGATAAGTAAAAACTGCGATTCTGGCAACAAGAAACTTTTTACAATCGAGGGTCGCAAAGATAAGCGCCCCCACCTTTGGAGCGTTTCTTCTTCTCTTTCTTGTCATCGATCGTCTTGGGTTTGTAGGGAAGCTCAAGCGACCCCAGGTTGGGCAGGCTGTTAGTCACCTTCGCCTTATTTTTCTTGACTGGTTTTGACTTAGCGTTTAGTTCCGCTGCTGACTGGGTCTGCTCCGGTTTGTCGGTTGACCTGATATTGCCTTGTCCCGTTTTGTTCTGCTTATTGCCCCTGTCCCGGTCTATCTTCGTGGATTTATTGTCCTGGAACAGTGCGACGGACCAATGAAATGATTCACGAGCACTTTCCGGAGCTTGATCAGGCATGACTGAATGCCTGAGCTGGGTGACAGAAATCCTCGATTACAAACACAACAAACCAAGGTCAAACTCAGGTGAACCTGGGCGCGACCTGCAGGCGAAGTCGTAGAAAAGAGACAACAGAGCTTTCAAACGCGGAAATCAGGTGTCTTTCCGACGTCATATCCTGCCTGGCAGCCAGGAGGGTATGGCCACCACGCAGCAGTCCGGCGCCCCTCCAACACCACAGAGCCAACCCACCCCCGACGGAGACTCAACAGCGGCTCTGCCCCAGCCGGCCGTGCGTCCACCCACCTTCTCGCTGACGTCTTCGACGTTCGAGTTATCCGTCGTCGTCGATGAGGTGCTGTCGTCGTCGTCGGGCTCGGCGCGCTTGGCGTCGGCGACGGCCGGGTCGGGCGCCTTGCGCGCCGCCGGCGGCGCCGCCCGCTCGCGCTCGGCCGCCGCGCTCACGTCCTCGATCACGGTGGACGGGTCAGCGGCGGCGTTCATGCCGAGGCTCTCGAAGAACGTGCTGGCCCAGCTGCGCTGGCTCTTGGCCTCCTTTTTGGCGCGGCGGCGGCGCAGCACCACGTCCGACTCGTCGCCGGCCGCCTTCTCGGAGCGCGCACGCCGGCCTGAGTCCTCGCGCTCGCGGCGGCCGCGCGCCGCCGCCGGCGGCGTGGCCGGCTTCGGAGACGCGTCCTGGCGCTCCGGCGGCGAGCGCAACGCCTTGCGGCCGGCCGCCGGCGTCGTCGTCGCCTCTTCAGCCGTGGCGCGGCCGTCACCGACGCGGCGCAGGTCGAACACCTTGTTCGGCGTAAAAGGTCGCAGCACGGCCGGCGGCGCGCGCAGGTCGAACGTGTCCTTGAGAATGCGGTCCGACTCGAAGAAGGCCGCCGCAAGGATGCTGAACAGCATAAAGATCATGAACGTGACGGCCACGCAGTAGAGCAACGGCTCCCAATCTGGACGCGGCACTGCGCGCGCGCACGGCACCAGCATCTGCGCCGGCACGGTGGCCAGCAGCGCGTACACCAGCGGCCGGCCGGCCGGGAGCAGGCTGGTGCGCAGCTCCAGCGAGCGGCGCACCACCGTCGTCGTAAAGTCTGGCGTGAACGCTACCTCCACCTTGCGGCTCGAGTTGGGCTGCAGCACGAACGGCGCGCAGTTGAGCACGCGGAAGCCGAACCCCTCGCACGCCAGTCCGTTGACACTGAAGTTGGATATGTGGATCGGCACCTCGCCCACGTTGCGCGTGGTGAACGCCCGCTTCACCGTGAAGTTGGGCAACGTGTACTTGCCGGAGCGCCGGGAACCTACCGGTCAACCATCACCAGTTACAGACAGTACGGAGGCCAAACAACTCTGTCGTTCTCAGAGGGCACACCAGATTGACAGTACCCTTGGTAGTTTATGAACGAGCGGTGAGCTAATTGATCACACATGTTGCTGATTTTCCCCCACCACGTACGCCCCAATGCGAATTTCAGCCAAGCGCTAAAGCAATGCCGCACGTAGAAACTTACAGTCTTTAAGATGTTTTTCGGCGAGCTCGAACAGAAGCGGTGACGACGAACCGGGTCGGTGGTTCCCAAATTTAAGCTGGCCATACGCTCCTCGTCCTTGTACCACCAACATATCCAACACGGTTAGGTTGTTCCTGGTGACAAAAAAATCCGGGTGAAAAAGTGTTACGGTGATGCACCATGGGTCACGTTTTCTAATGACATGACAACAATAATGAACTCAACACCACACAGAAACAGTGCAAAAGGGATCGATGTCCACAGGTGCGCCGCCGCGCACCAAACCGGACCAAACTGCGCCACACTGCCCGCCTGCTGAGCCCAGCCGTCGCACCTGATGATGACAATGTCGGACATGGCGGCGTCCTCGTGCGGCAGGAAGACCAGCGCCACCTTAAGGCGAGCGCCGGGCGCCACCACGGCCGTCACCGTGTCCGGGTGGGGAGGCGGCGCGTGCGGCAGCGCGGCTGCCGACCATTCGGGCCGGCCCGCGTCTAGCAGCGTGAAGCAGGCCGGCGCCGACCGCGGCGGCCGCTGGCTGGCCGGCGTCTCGCCCAGTCTGCCGGTGGCGGGCGTCGGGTCAGGGGTCAGACCGCTCAGAGGAGGCGGGGGCCGACACAGGCCGTCCAGGCCGCACGTCGGTAGCGGGTCAGAGGCCGAAGCCGACGCACTCCCGTGGAGGCCCGCTGAGGTCGAAGCGGTCGGTGTGAGCCGTACTCACAGCTGCTGTATGATGTCCATGGTAGCTTGCGTGGCCGGGTAGTCGCTCAGCAGGGACACGTGCACGGCCAGCGGCAGCTCGGACGGGTTCTCCACAGTCAGGTCGCGCACCGTCACGTTCCCCACCTGGCGGCGGCCGGCGCGTCACTCGCGGACGTGTGCCGCAAACGAGGGGACCACGCATCTCCCTCAAGTGCTTCAGAGAGCCCGTCTGCCCACTCTGTTGCGCGTGACCGTACCCGCCACCCATCACACATTCAACCACCGGGATTTTGACAGCTGTTGCGCTCGCACATCAGAACGCTTTCCACCTCCGCGCCGCCGCGCCATGACGACACGCCGACGGTGGTCGAGCGCCCACCTGCGTGACGCCGAAGCGGAGGCGCCGCCGTCCGACCAGCTGGGGCCAGCAGAGCTGGGCGCGCGCCCAGAACTGGTGGCCGTGCACCTCGCTGGTGTCGAGCGTCAGGCTGACGTTGTGCCAGTCGCCGCCGCCGCTGCCGCTGCTGCTGCTGCCGCCGCCGCCGCCGCCGCTCACGGCCGACCGGTACTTGGTGTACTGCGAGTGGAACAGCGCCGAGTCCACGTCGCCGATGTTGGCCGGCAGCGACAGACCCTGCAGCCACTTGGCGCCGCCTGGCGACGGACAGTACAGTCAGAAGTTGGTACGGCGGCACACAGCTGGCAGAGAGGCACTCATGCCACTTCCGAGTGTGTGGTGACATGACGTCCGACGTAGACATAACAGAGCCGTCTGGGGCAGAGTAAAATGGGGCACCTTAACCGCTGTCCAGAACACAGCGCCAGACCGCGACCAATGAACATTCAGTTCTTCACTCTGGCCGACAAGCAACGCGTGCCAAGTAGCGCTACTGTCCAAACGCACATCGCACGCCTGGCCGCCACGCATCGTTTACAAGCATCACTACCCGCTGACATCGCTCACGTCCTATCTCAGCTGATATCGCAAGCTTCGCATGGTTCAACACCCGAATACGGCCCGCGCCAGCACGCGACAGCAGCCTGCCCCGCAGCCGGGCCGCGGCCTCCCGCGCCAGCGCTCACTCACGCTTAGATGTGAGCTGGAAGCCAGTGTAGCAGTCGTCGCCGCAGGCGCGCGCCGGCTCGAAGCGCAGCTCACCCAGGCTGGTCTTCTTCTCGGGCTCGAGCACGACGGGCGCGCGCGTCGAGACCGGGCGGAAGACGAGGCGCCGGTCGGGCGGCTCGGCGCGCACGCTCGACACCGTCATGGCGTGCCCGAACGCCGAATACACCGACAGCGGCACCGACGACGTCTTGCCCTGCGCCGGCGGCCACGCGTGAGGCGGTTACGGCACGGTCGGACGACACGAGGCAGAGCTGCCCGCCGTGCACGCCGCGCGACGATCAGGCACGCTTTGGCTGTGCCAGTCCGACGGTCAAGCGCTGGGACAAATTACTCAAACAAGTGATACAGACAGCCTAAAGCCGCTTGAAACAGACTGCAGTGGGTGACGTGGGCGCTCGCATACCAGGAATCCCGTGCTCAAATACTTGCTGATACAACAACCATATAAGGGTGGGATTTCTGAGATCATCTTGCACATCCCTTAAACGGACACATGTATACAGACGTCAGCACAGAATCATCTTTGCACTAAAAAGCACTGGGGATGACTTCGTTAACAACGCATGTTTCGAAATCAGATAAGCCACTACGGCAGGCCCAAAATTACCGAACGCGCACTGTGTTTTTGGCTATAACGTTTGAGACTAAACCACTGCAATCACTGAACGCACCGCGCGCTCCCTTTCCACAGGGCAAATGTGACAGCTTCAGCTCTGCAGCACGAACGGCGAACGTTTGGAAACACAAATGTGTGAAATACCAATGGACGGTACGGCACAGCCTCCATGCATCGAGCTTCGGTCCGTGTCTATCCGTAAGAACCACTATCCATTTGACCGCCGTCAGTTCGCAGCTGCTAGAGCCGCCGCGCGTCACTCCGTCGTTTGTTTATCCGCAACAGGAAACGCAAATCAACAGTGCACAGTCGGCAGCCCCATAAACCGAGCCCAGCGTGACCCCACCCTCACCAGCGCGCCCTGCCGCCGGCGGCGCTCACTCACCGGGAACGTCTTCTCGAAGCTGATGACGGCCGGCGCCGTCGACAGGCTGCCGAGCGCGATGCGCAGTCGGAACGTCAGCGTCGGCCTCTCGTACTCGGTGTGCACGAACGCCGTGGCCACGAACAGGCCCTCGCGCTCCGGCGACACGATGCCCACCCGAATCACGGCATAGTGGTTCGGCCGCAGCAGCAGCTGCCGGGGGGGGGGGGGGGAGGGCGTCAGGAACACGGCCGGGGGAGAGGTCACTGCGACGAGAGAGGTGGGGCAGCGCGCTGGCGGCGTACGGCGCGAGTAACACAGGCAAGGCAGACACGGCACGACCAGACCGGGGCACCAGTGCACGTGGTTAGCGATGGCACCACCCAAGCGCAGTGCTGCAGGGGGACGGGACAGTGCCAAATGGTGTCAGCCTATCCGACAGGGGCGGGATGGATCGGGGGGGGGGGGGGGGGGCACACCTGGTCCACGAAGCTGGCAGGCAACTTCTACACAATTTGTTTGCAATATGCGGGATTAAAAACAACAAACCCCGACGCGCACGACGTTCGCATGAATATGCCAACGGTGCCAGGCCGTCAATTCATAATCAGACAATGACGCAGCGGCTGCCGTTCGTAGGCCTACAACATACACACACGCACGCACGCACGCACGCACGCACGCACGCACGCACGCACGCACGCACGCACACACACACACACACCACACACACACACACACACACACACACACACACACACACACACACACACACACACACACACACACACACACAAAACGGAACCGCCTTGTGCCAGTGGGGTGGCTAACATGGACGGACATTCCAGACACCCATATCTTTACACCTACAGACTACCTAAAACGCAGGCCTGATGCCCCAAGCGCACACCACGCACACCTGAGTCGACATCCCGCACCCGTGCCCCGGCGGGCGGTGTCACCTGTTTGTCCCGGTAGGGGCCGCCGTGGCGCTGCAGTATCTCGGCCACGCCGCCGCGGCCGGTGCCCACCAGCTCGACGACGCTCCGGCTCAGGTTGCTGCCCCAGCCCTGCAGCTCGATGCCGATCGGGTTGTCGTTGAGCAGGTAGTAGTACATGTCGCGTGTCTCTCCCACGCCCAGCGTGCCGAAGTCCAGCACGCCGCTCGGCTCGGCGCCGCCGCCCGGTGGCACCACGTACTGCAGCAGGCCAGCGGCGCCGTCAGCGGGGCGGGGCATGGGGGGGGGGGGGGGCAGTGCTGAGGCACGACCCGCGGTACAGGACACACGCTGACATTCTCCACGGCATCGCAGCGGGCAGCTCCCGCCAGCAGTGTCCTGGAATTGCCGACTTTGGGTGTAAAGCAATATCTCATGCGGAGGAATGCGGACAGCAGTCGGCACCTAGGTTAGCCTATCTCTTGTTCAGTTGTTCAGAGTTCAATTCAGTTCAGTTCTTTGCTCACTGGATGACGCGGGTCGAGTGTAGTAAATCTCTGCTGGAATTGTTTGTGAGCCTTGTGATAAATGTAATTGAAATTGATAATGCCTATTAAGGAGGAGATAAGGTCATGCTACGCTTGTAACTTATGCTAGTTTGTCGCTACTGCAAGAACTGCAATCCGATGTTAAACAGTTGGCATACCTGGCACCATCACTGACGACATGGCTAATTCTGGGTAACAGAAATGAGATTACCTAAGCGCGCTTATCTACCTGCCCGAGCTCTTCTCTCTCCCCCCCCCCTCTCTCTCTCTCTCTCTCTCTCTCTCTCCCTCTCTCTCTCTCTCTCTCTCTCTCTCTCTCTCTCTCTCTCTCTCTCTCTCTCTCTCTCTCTCTCTCTCTCTCTCTCTCCTCGTCTCGTCTCTCGTTCTCGTTCTCGTTCTCTTTCGTCTGTTCTCGTTCTCGTCTCGTTCTCGTCTCGTTCTCGGTTCTCGTTCTCGTATCGTTCGGTTCTCGTTCTCGTTCTCGTTCTGCGTTCCTCGTTCTCGTTCTCGTTCTCGTCTCGTATCGTTTCGTTCCTCGATTCTCGTTGTCTCGTTTTCCTCGTTCTCGGTGTCTCGTTCTCCTCGTCTCGTTGTTCTCGTTCTCCTCGTTTCTTCGTTGTTCTCGTCTCCTCGTTTCTCCTTGTTTCTCGTGTCTCGTTCTCCGTCGTTCTACGTTTCTCAGTTCTCGTTGTTCTCGTTCTCCGTTCTCGTTGTTCTCGTTCTCCGTTCTCGTTGTTCTCGTTCTCCGTTCTCGTTCTCGTTCTCGTTGTTCTCGTTCTCGTTCTCGTTCTCGTTCTCGCTCAGCGCGCGCGGTGCAACTACGGTAGCCGGCTCCACGCTCCTCTCGCCATCGCCATCAGCGCCGCTGCTCACCGTTCGCAGTTTGCCCGTGTAGCAGGTGACGGGCAGGCGCAGCTCCGTGACGTTTGTGTGCAGCACCACGTGAGCGCTCAGCTTGAGCTCCGGCTCGGGCGCCGCCAGCTCCAGCGTGAACAGCTCCGCCGATTTGTTGCGCGCCAGGATGGTCGGGCCCGGCCACGTCACCTGGCGGCGGCGGTGGCAGGTGGTCAGCGCCCAGGCAGCGGAGCGCCGACCCGGCACAGGGTCTCTGGGACGGTCACACACCCCGCGAACATCCCACGGCAAACCACGCCGGCGGAGCGGCCAGCCCGGTGACCCCGGACAGCGCCGGGCGGCCGCGGGGAAGAGCTCCGCAGCCGCGGCATTGGTGCTGCTCATGCCACGGAACAGTGGGAGCAAGTGTATCGGCGGATCGGCGGCAACTGGCGTAAACGGCCGGTCCCTATAACCGTGGCGACAGTTGCCCTCCCCCACACGGAGTCCGGCCTAGGTCAAGTCACGTTTGGAACCTGCAGACAGACGCTGCCACGATCGGTATGCAAAACACGACACAAACGCGCGTTAGGCAATGTTGGGTTATGTTCCCAATGGCAGAGCCGAGCCGGGAAAGTGGAGCGTAAATATGTCACTCAACCCGTTTAAGGACTGCAACTGAGCCCGTGGATTTCCACAATCAACGGTATCTGTTCAATTCTGCACCGAAGCTGGGGGATTACGCCGTGCTGATAAGTCTTGCAACTCTCTCATTCCGAAACGAAAAATCCTGACGTGCCCCATAATCTGGTCAATCTGACCCATAATCTGGCAGTGTCCTTCACAACACGGAAGGCAAGGCCAGCGCCATTTCGTCACACACCCCACCCGTGCTGCCACCTGGTGGGGGTCGAGAGGCCGGCAGTCAGCGCAGCGGGCTCCCCGACAGACGGACGGCAATGTTCGCGGATCTCCGGTACGGCGCGGACGAAACGATACAACGAGTAGGGCACTGGTCTCCGGCACGGCGCGGACGAAAGGATGCAACGAGCAAGACAAACAATAGATCAGATATCACGGATCTCAATTACCATGGTTCGCTGAGGAAAGAACCCTAAAACATAGAACAACGGCACAACGAACAACAGAGGGCGGGTTTAACGCCAGTCCAACACGACTTGGCGGCGGCGGCCCACCTTAAAATAGGCGCCGGCTGCCGTCGTGAGCGACACGTTGTAGACGGCCAGCGGCACGGCGAAGCCGTTGGTGACGACGACGGGCCGCGCCTCGGGCGCCGGCCCCGGCGTCGCGTGGAACTGCAGCTGCGCCTCGTCCCACTCCAGCGCGCCCGACACGATGTCGGCCACGTACGACATCTGGCGATGGCGGCCGATGCCGGTCAGGTCAGGTCAGGCCGGGCGGGGTGGCCAACGGGGCGTCGCGCGGCACACGAAACGACGTCGTCAGACAGAAGGCGCTGCTAAACGACCGCGGAGGGCGAGTCGCCCAAACGTAGCCCGGTGTGTTGGCGAGCGTCCTCCATCGAAAGCCCCTGTGTGGTGGGCGACGCACGCACACACGCTGCCGACACAACGCGAAGGGCATCCCACCCGCACGAAAGTCTGAGTGTCCATGTATGCACCTCCTGTCAAACTACTCGTTAGGTGTAACGTGCGGGCGTTCTCCGGCTTCGGTGGCAACGTGTTGTCTGCGCCGCAGTATCAGCGCAGCCCACGGGTGTGACGCGTGAACAGCACCACTGACGTGACGTCAGGAGCTCATGGGGCTGACGCCGCGGTATCAGCGCAGCCCGCGGGTGACGCGTGAACAGCACCACTGACGTGACGTCAGGAGCTGATGGGGCTGAGCTGATGGGGTTGACGCCGCGGTATCAGCGCACCCCGCAGGTGTGACGCGTGAACAGCACCACTGACGTGACGTCAGGAGCTGATGGGGCTGAGCTGATGGGGCTGACGCCGCGGTATCAGCGCAGCCCGCGGGTGTGACGCGTGAACAGCACCACTGACGCGACGTTAGGAGCTGATGGGGCTGAGCTGATGGGGCTGAGCTGATGGGGCTGACGCCGCGGTATCAGCGCACCCCGCGGGTGTGACGCGTGAACAGCACCACTGACGTGGCATCAGGAGCTCATGCCGCGGTATCAGCGAAACCCGCGGGTGTGTCGCATGAACAGCACCACTGACGCGACGTCAGGAGCTGATGGGGCTGAGCTGATGGCGCTGACGCCGCGGTATTCGCGCGCCGTCTCGGCTGACGTCCAGACCGGCGTCAGACATAGCTCGCCGTCACACGACAGAGCGCGACGCTACCCACGCCAGTCGCCGTGGATTCAACACCAGCCAGCATGGCGTGTATAAAACGATGACTTTAAGCATCACAGGGTGGCAATGCTAGCCTTTGAAGTGAATCACCCACAACACCCAACTTCAACGGCCATCGCTGTGGGGAAAATGACGGTGCAATATGAAGCTACAATTTTGATCGAGGGAAAACCACTTGGCAAGATTGGCGGCATTCGAGACCCAAATCACCATGTCACGACAGGGACACCCTGCCGCCGTCTCCCACCTGCAGCTTGTGTTGATTGCTCTTAGATTTGATGAATATCTTGCCGCTGAGCTGTTTCTCTGACCGCACACGATCCGCTGCGACAGGGAGCGACGCGTTAGGCGAGCGTCAACACATGGGGACGCTGGCTGACCAGGGCACGGCGCTGCGACTGCCCGGGGAGGGGGGGGGGGAGAGGAGCAGACGTCTGCCGTGACGTGCCCCCGGCTGGTGCGGCGTCCGTCGACTGAGCCGTCGACTGATGCGGCGAACTGATACCGACGGCCGATTAATGTCTGCAGCACCGCCGGGCCCACAAGACACGTGGCGGGCAACACCAGCGGACCCACAGGACCCTAGATGGGTACTAACAGCGGGCCCACGAGAAAATCGATGGGCAGCACCAGCGGGCCCATGGACCCTAGATGGGTAACACCACCAGGCTTTTGGAACCCTGGATGGGTAACAACAGCTGGCCGACGAGACACTCGGTGGGTAGCACCAGCGGGCCAATGGAACCCGGCCTGCACGTGGTCCGACACGAGCCGCCTTCGCTGGCCGGTTCCCCTTAAACAGCGGGCGAGCGGAATCTGATCCGGGCCCGGCCGGCCGCCTTGTATGGGCAGCGGCAGCTGGAGGTCAGCGGCAACGCTGCGGATGGGGCGGAGAGAGTACGGATCGCGGGCGACGCGACGCTTAGCCGACGGTCCTGGCCGCCGCCGCCGCCGCCGCCGAGCGTAAACAGTCGAAGGCTGTGATGCTGACACTGCTCGTACCCAGCGCTCAAATCACTCCTCTAGTGACATAACACCACGCTAGTCACTCGCACAAAGCCCATATATCAGCAACTGGAGAGCACGCCTCAGACGGTTACAAACGGTCGCACGCTTTCAGCGCCGAGTTGCGCCGACGCAGACCGCGGCGCGCCGTTCGGCTGGGCCCGGCCGGCAACGCCCACTCACGGTAGAAGGAGATCTTGGCCACGTTGGTGGCGCGCCCGGTGTTCGGTGGTATTTTCACCGGCTCGAACTCGATCTCGACCGCATCATTCGCTGGACTCGCCACCACGTGCTGAAACAGAGCGAACGCCGAGACCGTCAGCGTCGTCGGGCAGGCTGGCCGTCAACAGACCAAGCACGCGCCCGCGCCCGCGGCGACGTACGTGCCGCCGTCAGTACAAAACACCGCATCTCGATGTGACAGCTGGGTCGACTTCTTACTTAAGTCCGCCGTTCATTTTCGCCACGCACTGGAGGCAGAAGAGGCTGGACGGCCACAAAGACGTCCCGAGTCAAAACGGTTTCATCCGCGCTGGCTGGTACGGCGAGGAATGAAGTCGGCGGGCCCATCGGGCCGTGCCGACGACAGCTTGATGGCCCGAACCCGAGACGGATCGGCCGTGACCGCCGCGCCGCGGGCCGTTACCGCGGCTCACGTGATCCGCGGCCGCCATGCCACAGCGCGCTCGGCTCGGGTGCTGCGCCGGTCCGCGTCGGCAGACGAGCCTCATCAACAGACCGCGCTACGGCGGCCCGGACCGTCGCCAGCCCACCCGCCCGACAGCAGTGCTGTGTCAACAGAGTCCAAAAACTGAGAGCCAAAACTCGTCCGTAGTGGTTTACCAAGGACAATTTTGAATTGTGACACACCGCCCGGGACTTATGCGACATCAGTCGGCACACAGACCTAAGCCAGCACACAGACCTATGCCGCTACACAGAACTGAGCCTGGACACAAACCTCAGCTGCCACACAGCCCTCGGCTGGCACACAGACCCAATTCGACACAGACCTCAGCCGGTACACAGACCCCGTGCGCGGCCGCTTTTCGGTTGGCGGCGCCATCAGCCTGCCGCAGCGCACATCGGCGCAGCAGACTGCGCCTTGGACGGTCACACGCTTCAGACGGAGAGGCTACGGCAACGCGCGTGGACGCTCCACGTGGATCGCGCATTCTCGCCGGGCCGCAGCTGAGGCGCCGACCCGACGCCACGTGGCCGAGCGGCGCCCGAGCGGCGCCCGGCCGACCCCCGGCCGACCATCGGCACTGGGACCTTTCACCGGGCGGGCGAGAGACGCGGCCTCGCCGTCCGTTTATGACGCCTGCCGCGGCGGCCCAGACGGGCTGACGCACGTGCTCAGACGGGGGCCTGCCTCGGTTACTGGCCGACGACGGCGGGTGCGCGGGCCGTGAGGCATCGGGGCCGGGCCGAGGCGTCGCCCGCCGTGCGCGTAACGCCAAGGACACCGGGCGGCCGTGCGGGCGGCGCTCGGCACCGCGGCGCTGGTGCCGACGCCGGCATGTAAACAAACACGGAGCCTGACGGCGCAGCATGCGCGGTGATGGCAGACGAGGCCGAGACAGCAGCTGCGCGATCGCTGGCCGACGATCGACGCGTGGCCTTCGGCAATCTGCCCGCGGTGCTGTCGGGCTCGCAAGTCCCCGAGAATGGGCAGTTAGGGGGAAGCCGGTGACACGTGCGATGGCGCTATGCGTGGGCTTGAGGGAGGCTGAAAATGGGGACGTCCGCATTCTGAAACACAGGCGAGCTTTTCAAAATCATGATGGGAGCTCTCAGATTTGGCACTAATGCAAAAACAGCCATGAGCCCTTCGTTCACGTTCAGTGGTAGCAGGAGGGGAGTGGATGAGCAGTGCAGAAAGTGCCACGCGCGTGAAAAACGACTTGCATGAAGCGAGGACCTCTGACTAGCCTTGCAGGCATCGAGACTCGATTCCTGCTATATCCCCGCGAATGCCAGGATGCATCGCCTATCTCGTGTCTGGGGCGACCGACCGACGCTGATGGGATCGGCGTCCATAATTCGACCAGGTCTGTCGGTGCAATGTGCGGAATGCCGAATACAGTGTGTGCTGACAAAATGACGTGGCATCCGGCTTTTGCGCAGGTAAGTACCTGATACTTGGGCAGCAAAGGCGTCCGACTGTGCCTCATGGGGACTGAAGCGCGCAAAACCCCTTATCAGAACAGCTGTGGCATTCTGGAAATGGCCTCCATAAATCAAGGCTGGGGAGCATCGCCAATGAAGTCTACTGGAATGCCTGCCCACGTACGGTCATAAGTGATGGCCACTTTTACAGAGACAGTTCTGGCCCGAGACCGGTTGGTCGCGGCTGAGCGAGCCCGCCCCTGCTGCAGACAGCTCGCCTCTCGAATCGCTCGGTTCGCCCTGCCTACGGCGAAAACAGCCCCATATCGGGACAGCGCCGGGCAACCACCAACCGACACAAACGGCGCGGCGTCGTCCTCCGATCGACCGGTGACGACCCGTGCGGCCACGTGGGGGCCGTCCCCGAGCGCCGGCCTCCGCTGCCCGCACGGCCGCCGCACCACCGGCTGAGTCACGTGATCGATCCTCGGTCGGCGGCGCTCACCGGCCGCTGGATACCGCGGTACCGACGGCGTCTGTTGCGGGACAGCCAATCACAGGCGGCGGCCAGCAAATGACGTCATCACCAGACGAACGGGACGGCAGCTCGCCTGTTTACTTTAGTCAGCCAGAGCGGTGGCGGTTTTCGGAACGCGATTGGCCGGCGAAAAAGTCCGAACTCATAAACCACTGTGCATACTGGGAATCGCACGAGAGTGCGGGGGGGAGGGCTCAAAACGCGACCCACTTGACGCAAGATTTCGCGAGGGAAAAAACGATGCTCACATACACGCCGAAGTTTCCTCGGGGGCAGGGAGAGGGCAGCCAACCGTGCACATATACAACCCTGCGGTAGATAGCTGTCATCCTTGATGAGAGGACCGTCGCTTACCCGAGCTCCACACCGTGTTGCTGACATACCAACGGCCAGCGATTCGCCGAAACCGCGCGGAAAATTCCCCTACGTCACGTCGTGTCAGCTGGGCCATGCTGAAAACAGCACGCTCACGTGCACGTTGTTGGATGCACGTGTGGGATGCCTGTATGGGCGCGCGGGAGGTCAGCACCCGGCGCGCGGCCTGGTGGCGACACCGACGGCCCCAGTCTAAATCCTACCTGGATTATCCCGTCCATATCCCGCCGAGCACAGTGCTCCCAGCTGTGCTGCTGAGCACGCCTGCACAAAGTAGCCCGGCGCTGCCACGACCGAGCCCAGATCCGCCCCTTTGGAGACCCAGACAGGACAGCACGTGCCGTGGACGCGCCCTCGCCCGGCCATGAGAGCGGACCGCGCCACACACTCACGCCACGCGGCGTCAGCTCGGAAGGCCGGTTAACTGCAGGCCTATGTTCAGGAAAACCGTTCTCAGAGCGTTGGTGTTCCGAGAGTTTTAGGCCTGCGTTCCGGCCTGTTTTTAGAATGTTTTCTTTCGAAAGGCGTATGTCTGGCATGTCTATTTCCACAAAACTTATTTTCAAAAGGCCGATCTTCGGAAGGCCTATTTTTAGGAAGGCCCCTTTCAGAGCCAATTTGGACGGGCCTGTTACATTCCGTAGACCTACGTTCACCAGACCTATGATCAGACCACTAAGAACGTCTACGTTCAGAAGGCCTTCATTACGAAGCCCCACACATGGCTTCTGGGAGTAACCCTTAGAACACATGCTGAGCAGGCCTTCTCGACACCGGTCTTCGGAAAGAAGTCCTTCTGAACATGCGTCTCTTGCACGTACGCCCTTAGGCGAAGGCCTTCTGAAAATAGACCCTGTGAGCGCAGTTGTTCTAGAAATAGACTTACTGGGTGTCGTCCTCTAAAAATCCATCTTCCGATACGTGACCAGTGATGCGGAGCAGTCATCGATGGCGACACGCGCACCGACGGACGGGCCACCCCCGGTGATGCAACCACTGCCCGCTGGCGGCGTCACAAAGCGCCTGATCTCTGCAGACGCGGCAGGTCAGCAGGCCCCGCGTCCCGCCCAGCGGCGGCCACCCGGGGTCCCCGTCACGGGCGGCTCGGGCCTGAGCGGCGCAGCGGCGGGAGGAGCGTTCGTCCGTCCGCCCAGCGGCGGCCACCCGGGGTCCCCGTCACGGGCGGCTCGGGCCTGAGCGGCACAGCGGCGGGAGGAGCGTTCGTCCGTCCGCCCAGCGGCGGCCACCCGGGGTCCCCGTCACGGGCGGCTCGGGCCTGAGCGGCGCAGCGGCGGGAGGAGCGTTCGTCCGTCCGCCCAGCGGCGGCCATCCGGGGTCCCCGTCACGAGCGGCTCGGACCTGAGCGGCGCAGGGGCGGGAGGAGCGTTCGTCCGTCCGCCCCGCGGTGGCCACTCGTCCCCGTCACGAGCGGCTCGGGCCTGACCAGCGCAGCCGCGGGTAGACCGCCGCAGGATGGGCTGCATCCCGCCGTCCGCTGCCGGCGGCCGCGCCGCGCTCGCGGGGGCGGGCACCAGCACTCGGGCACGGCTCGTGCACGTCCGCTGGAAGAGCCCGTTAGCCGGCGGAATCGCAGCTGTTTCGCATGCAGCGCCCGGCCGGCCAAGGCTGACGGTGAATTGAGCAGGCCGCCTCGACGACGATGGGCGAATGCGGCGCGAGCGCGGCGTGAAAACGCCGCGAGGCCGCCCATCAATTCAACACTTCGGAGAACGCAACAAATAACGACGCGGTATATTACGGAAAGCAGCGGCAATGGCTGTTACGAGCCTCGACTGCGGCGCGCCCCGCCGAGAGCTCAGCCCAACTAGGTGCTCTCAGACGCGAATCGCATCCGATTGGGCCATCGCTGCGCCGTCTTAGTGCCGGCCTACCCGAACGTCAACTGGGCGGCCGGGTCGGGTGCCGCCAACACACCCAGACGAAACGGGCAAACTTCGCCGGATCGATTCAGCGCATCAATGCCCGCCTGTCGGCGAAACGGGCTTATCGCCCGGAAAGCCCCGACGGGCAACGGCGGCGAAGTCCGGCACGCCGACCGCACTAACTTTCTGCATTAGGTTCAGTGCAGCAACAACGCCTGAGAGCATCAGGTGGCGTGACTGCGACTGGCTGTGACGCGCCAGTTCGAGAACGGCCCGCGCGCCGAGCCGGCGCCCAGCCGCAGCCTGTGGGGCGGCCTGCTGCGGTCTGGAGAGGTGCCAGCGGATGCGAATCACATCTGTTCTCCCGGGAAGTGTCTCCTTACGCCGAGTATCACCAGAAAGAGGTCTTGATCGATCGCGCCACAGCGCTCCGCCAGCGCAATCTGCATAATGGGAAATGGGGAGACCGAAAGCGAAGGTCTGACAATAACACTCGAGCATGGAAGCTCATGACCTCGCCTCGGTCCCGAGCAGAACACTCCCCGGTCGAGCAGCGCTGTTGCCGGCTCATCTCCATCTAACGAACCGGTCAGCACACCCCGCAGTGTCGCAGCCTCGCACGCTGAGAGACCCTCTCAGCGGCCTGGCCCGGACCCGCTGACCGGCGGCTCGTCGCGGCGGCGGCGGCACCGCGCGGCAGAGCGCGAGTCCTCCAGCGGCGACGCCTGCCGCCGCCGCACGGCTCGCGCCCGGCGGGTTCGCCGCTCGCCGAGACAGCCGGTACAGCCAGCACGTGCGCCCATCTCCTACCGGCCGGCGCCACGACCCAACACTGGAGCGCTTCGACGCCATCGCCGAACACGCCGGCAGACGGCACGTAAAACGCCACGGAAAGGCGTCCTGCGACGGCCTGGCCTCCAGGCTCGTCCCCGGCACTGACTGCTCTGTTCTCCACCTCCATACGCGGCAAGAGCGCCCCAGCCGGGCGGTCATCAGGGTCCAGCCACACGGCAACTGAGCTCAGTTCCGCTCTCTTCCTCTTGCCTCAGCCCAGTGCTCGGATAAAGCGCTCCGCACAGTCCCCCGCAACCAGTCTTCGCGGCTGACCCACGGAAGACTTCAAGAGGGTCTCTTCCCACCTCCTTAGCTGCGGCCAACCCGCGAACAGCGCCACCATGCCTCCCTCAAGCATCGATATTTGATATTTGGTAGACACTGTACCTTGATCCTCCTCAATCCTCGACGTTCGGCGTCCGCGGTCTACAAGAACATCGACACCTTCCGCGGAGCCGCTCCTGTCCAACCCACGACCAATGGGCCGCTGCCGTCCGCCGCCACGGGACCCACCTGCAGCTGTATGGGCTTCTGCGCAGCATTAAGTAGCGGCAGCCAGAGGACGCGCGGCTGACTCCCGGCCGCTAACAGGCCGAAGTCGAGCCGCTGCAGCGGGCAGAAGAGGCCTGGTCGCGCCGACACCTCCACCTCCACCGGCAGCACCAGGTAGTCGTCGCTCGGGTCCGTGCTGTTCGTTTTTATCCTGCAGCGTGAGGCGATATCAGCACCCGGGAAGAGACGGCACAACCTTCTCTAGGGAGCCCAAACAGCGGCGCTGAGGCGAGGGGAAGAGAGGGAGAGTGAGGGGCGAGAGGGAGAGGGCGAGCCCTTGGGAGCTACCATAACCACAATGTCGTATGTAAAGCCATATTTGATGAAAACTATACTACGCATCAGACAGGGACTAGCGTGAATATACAATGACAAAGGAACAAGGAGACATCTACCGTAAAAATTCTCCACCTGAGATGCGGGCATGGCCACGTCCGTAAAGGGGCCCCGAGAGGCCGTATCACAAAGCGAAGGGAATATCTAGCTGGCACCATTCGATGCAAATCAGCGGTGCAAGCATGCTCGTCAGGGACAAAACAGCTCAGCTGCCCCCCCCCCCCTCCCCCTCCCACTCCCCCACCAGGCGTGAACACGACGGTCCAGCATGCCAAGGAGCCGCCGCGGAGCCTGTTCTTACACAACGGAGAACAGAACCCTCGGCGCCGTCTGCCCCGGCGAGCCTTCACTGCCCGACGCCCAATCCTTGGACCCGCATCACTGGACTCCGGCGGCAGCAACCGGCCGGCCAGGAGCACGGGTGGCGCCCGCAACGTTACAGGCACGCGATAGCACTGGTCGATACGCAGAGTTGGCGACGCAGAAGCAAAAAAGGGGCGCCGCTCGCCCGTTGTGTTATGCGAATCACCGGCAAGGAGGGGTGCCGCAGAGCCTCCCTTTGTCACATCCACACCAGGTGCTTTTGAAAGCTAAACAACACACGGAGCCAATCAATACTCAGAAAGGCACGCTCGTCGCGCCCACGCCGCGTGGCGTGCAAGTTCCAGCCGCCGCGGTTTCGTAGTCTGTGCCTCCGATCCCCGGCCAGAGCGGTCCGGGCACACCGCCGGGCCCGTTCGCACCTGATGAACGCCGTGTGGTTGTTCTCCTGCCGCGCCACGAAGCTGGCGCGCATCACGGGCCGGCTGTGGTAGGGCGGCACCTCCCACTGGGCGCGCTGGCCCTCCACGTCGCCCGAGGGCAGCTCTAGGTGCAGGTCGCCGCCGCTGCTGTACATCTCTACCACCTGGCGACGGCAGCGGCTTTGAGTGCGGCGCGGCCGCTGACGCTCTGATGTCAGACAGCGGCCGTCGGAGGGCGACGGTCAATGCCGGGACCCCGGGGATGGGGCGCGGAGCCTCCAGAGGGCTGGTGCTCACATCCACATCTCACATCCACGGTGTTTGGCAAATGGGGGCTCCTGGTGCGTGGGATATGAAACGTACGACACATGCAGCGCTTGTTGATAGCAGAGAAGACAGAATATTAAGTTGTGTTTGAAAGACAGCTCGTATCATCACATACCAGATGCGCTTCCCCTGTTGAGACGACTCTCGAACGAACACAAAACAATGTTAGACTACGCTGCTCGAAAATAGCCAGTAAGTTAGAAAAACTTCCTACTACCTGTCGTCCAACCAGATTTTCTGTACGTCCGGACAAATGCAAACTACCTTACACCACGCCTCTGTTTTTCCCGAATAATCCATTTGCATCAGTCCTAAACCTGGGAGCACATCTCCCGCACTTCAAGTCAAGTTTAGAAGCTGTAGTTACACTTACCTGCAGTGGCGTCTTGTGCGGGTTGTACATTTCTATCAAGGGCGAGTAACTTGAATTTAGTGGCATTTTTACCCCTACCAACGGTTTTAACCGGTATGGATTTGGCGTGCCTTCGGCTTTCACCTGAAAGCGAGCAAGCCATCACGACATGGACCGCTGCCGTACACGCTCAGCTGATTCCCCGCATGGCAATGCTGACGGCGCACCCCAGACAAGTTTATGTGCCAAGGCGGCAGAAATCAATGCCTAATGACGGAGGTCAGGCCAGCTGACGTGGCGGCTGGCACTAAGGGTCACACCATTACGGACAACAGGCCACACAAGCTGCCGTTAACATTGGGCCGACAGGGCTCGACCTACATGGAGACACGCGATCACCGAGCGGAACGGCCAGTAGGCTGATTCGACGCAATAGGCACCAGCGCGCTCGAGTCGCTGGGCAACGCCGCCGATTCAGGCCCAGTTGTAAGCACAAATCGTAGTGATACGCTCTTCACAAATGAAACATCCAGCGAACAGTTGGTTACCTTAAACCTGAAACTGCCCACTGACGAGTGGATGTAGAGATAGCTTTCCACGGGCCCGACCTCGCGGCCCAGAAACACCACGTCCAGCGACGTATTGCCCAGCGGCGGTATCATCTGCGAACGCCGGACAGGCGGGTCAGTCGAGCCGGACCACCAGCGTCCCGAGCCTGACTGGGCGCCGCTGCAGCCGACCGCCCCGTCACTTCCGTCCGGCATCCGGGCGCCGCCGCCCGCCTGGCGTCACGCGTCACGCACGTCGAGCGCTCCACGCGGCGTCACGTGGCGTCGCGCGCCGTTACGGCCGCGCGGGCGTCTCCTACTGCCAGGCAGACAAGCGCGCACATGTGTTGCTCTGTTCACGTGGTTTAAAAACCCGCAGCGTTCCCTGGTCAAGCGTGCTATATAACGCGTCCTCAGGCCTGACGAGGTACTGCCGGACTGGAGATTGGACTCCGGCCGCAGGTCCCTCTAACAGGCTCTACATAAAAACCACCCCGTAGTCAGTTTCACAAAACCAGACAACCCTGCTGATTGTCATCGGTGACTTAGCAATAATATAGTCAAAACAACTTGTTGGTTTAAAGAAGAGCATACAAGACACAAAACACAACACATTAGACCGCCAGGACCGCCACAGGAAACCCCAAAACAGCCTACTCGTTTCGTGCCCTGATTAACATGTTAGGCTTTTCCAAGGCATCAGCTGAGCAGTCGCTCCCCCGCCTTTGGTCAATAGTTGTATTCTGTGCACCGGCCACCACTGCCCTGATCAGGCTGACCTCGGCACCAACAGCCCACTGACAAAGAGATTATTATGCATGAGTGAATAATGTCCCGAGATACTGGTGGGAAGCGATCACATTGAGAGAATCGGCGCTTCCCAGTAGAGAGTAGCTGACCACCGGCGACGAGCTGCAAACGAGCTCCACACATGCTGACCTGTCTGGGGATGCCCGACAGCGAGCTGCTCGGCGCTCCTAACCCCCAAAACGACCGACGGGACTGGCCCATGATCCGTCAGTGGTGACGAGAGCGAAAATAGCATGAAAATGACTGAGCATGGAAAGAGGAAAAACAGCCAGAGTCAGGGCGGGGGCCAGTGCAGACGAGACATAAACAGGGACATAGACAGAGACAGAGACAGAGACAGAGACATAGACATAGACATAGACAGAGCAGAGACAGACATAGACATAGACAGAGAGACAGAGACAGAGAAGAGGGGAGGGGAGAGGGAGAGGAGAAGAGAGAAGAGAGAGAGAGAGAGAGAGAGAGAGAAGAGAGAGAGAGAGAGAGAGAGAGAGAGATCGAGAGAGAGAGAGAGAGAGAGAGAGAGAGAGAGAGAGAGAGACAGACAGACAGACAGACAGACAGACAGACAGACAGACAGACAGACAGACAGACAGACAGACAGACAGACGGAGACGGAGACGGAGACGGAGACGGAGACGGAGACGGAGACGGAGACGGAGACGGAGACGGAGACGGAGACGGAGACGGAGACGGAGACGGAGACGGAGACGGAGACGGAGACGGAGACGGAGACGGAGACGGAGACGGAGACGAGACGGAGACGAGACGGAGACGGAGACGGAGACCGAGACGAGACGGAGACGGAGACGGAGACGAGACGGAGACGGAGACGGAGACGGAGACGGAGACGGAGACGGAGACGGAGACGGAGACGGGAGACGGAGACGGAGACGGAGACGGAGACGGAGACGGAGACGGAGACGGAGACGGAGACGGAGACGGAGAACGGAGACGAGACGGAGACGGAGACGGAGACGGAGACGGAGACGGAGAACGGAGACGGAGACGGAGACGGAGACGGAGACGAGACGGAGACGGAGACGGAGACGGAGACGGAGACGAGACGGAGACGAGACGAGACGGAGACGGAGACGGATACGGAGCGGAGAGAGGAACGGAGACGGAGACGGAGACCGGTATACGAGACGGAGACGGAGACGGAGGCAGAGGACGAGAGACCAGAGACAAGACAGAATACAGAGACAGAGCAGAGACGAGACAGAGACAGAGACAGAGACAGAGACAGAGACAGAGATAGAGACGGAGACGGAGACAGAGACAGAGACAGAGACAGAGACAGAGACAGAAGGGGGGGGGGGGGAAATGCATTAGCAGCAGGGACGGCCCGCGGTTGTGCTGGCACGCGCTAGCCCTACACCATGGCCAGCTCTCAAAACACCAAATGAGCGCGGCCGGCCGTGCCAATCCCTAGCCGGCCGCGTGCATAGTTCATGGGCGGCGGGCCACGCGGCGCCCTATTTTTGGCGCGCCGCGCCTCCCGCCAGCCGCCAATTGGCCGCCGGTCATCGTGCACGTCCAGTCGAACAGCTGGCCCCGGCCCCGGCCCCGGCCCCGGCCTGGCGCGACCCGAACAGCCGACCCGTCGCCGGCGTCACAGGGGAGCGATGCTGACATCGGCACGTGTGGCGCAGGGACCGGAGAGAGATCAGTGGTCGGCCGGCGCGGGGCCGCGGGGGCAGGGGCGGGGCAGGGGCGGGGCGGGCGGGGCGGGCGGGGCGGACGGGGCCGCGGCTCCGTCAGTCCTGCGCAATATACCAGGTGCGGCACGGCCCGCCCCGCGGCGTTGTCGGGCGGCGACGCGTCAGGCGTGCGCGCACGCCACTGCGCCGCCGAACCACACACCGGCCTCACCCGCACACCTGCGTGTGGAAATGGGCCGGCGCGCGCCAAACAGCAGGGTCGTTAAGCCAGAACGGGGTCAGTTGCGCGCGTTTTGAACGGGAAGCCGACAGGAAACACGGATATAATTCGCTTAAAAACACACGGGCTGACTTCATCAGTGGGCCAGTTGCGTCATGCCTCGCCGTACAGCTTTTCATACTCTGGATGTTTCAAATGGGACGTTTTGATTACGTTCTTCTCACATTAGCGTTTAAGTCAATTTGTGCGGCGGCCATTTTCAGATTGCTCTTCCCAGCACATAAAGCAAACGCACGCACGCTTCCGTACAAAATAAGTCAGCACGCGCAACCAAGCACTCACCTTCTCTTGGAAGAATGTGCAATGAAAATGCACTGTACTCCCTGATATTGAGAGCATCGATATTGTATGTTCGGCGGACGGGTTATATATGATGACACGTTCCACGTGTGGCATACCCAGGGGACTGAAAACATGGCAATCGTCAATGGGCGTCAACCGGTCAGCAACTCCCACGCGCCGCGACCAGCACCGGGCCCAATCCACCACATAAACACATCTCATCCGCATCGACTCATTGACGAATGGTAACGCCACTCTGCGACAGGTGCTGAGCGGTCGCGGGCGTCGATAGCGCCGCAACGACACCGTGGGGGCGCGGTGGGGGCATTCACGCGCGGATCGGCGCGTCCGTCGTCAGACGCGTCGCCGACGGGGCCGGAGGCGGGCCGCATACGCCGGCACGAGTCCATCACGGGCGACCCCGGCCGGCCGGCCGGCCGACCAGCCGGCCACGATCAATGGCCCCAATCACGAACCACCACCGCCGCCGCCGGCCAGCGTCGACGGAGACGTCACGAAGCGGCGTCGGCGGCGGCGGCGGGTGTTCCGAGGCGGCGAGCTCCGCCGGTCGATCGACGGCGGCCCGCGCTGTTTCGCGCGCCGCGGACCGCTCATTGTGCGCTGAACGCCAGCCTATTCATCACGCCGGCGCTGAGAGCGTAACGACTAATGACGCTCGGCAGCCGAGTCCGGCGCGGTACTCACTGCTCCTTGAAGTCTAGCATGGGCGGGTCGAACCGGATGGAGGGCATCTTGTCGACGTCCGAGGAGCCCCTGTTGGGTGTGCCGTCCGCCGAGATACTCTGCAAGCGGTGCGACACGCGGGTTAGCTGCCGGCGTCGAGCTCAGGCCAAGAGGCGGCGCGCTGCCGAAGCCGTAACAGTCGGCTCGTCATGTGCCGAGGCGGCGGGAGGGCAGGCCGCTACGGGGAGGCGAGAGGGCAGTGCCGCTGCAGGGAGGCGAGAGGACAGGCCGCTACGGGGAGGCGAGAGGGCAGTGCCGCTGCGGGGAGGCGGGAGGGCAGTGCCGCTACGGGAAGGCGAGAGGGCAGTGCCGCTACGGGGAGGCGAGAGGACAGGGCCGCTCTTGGCGCCTGAAGAGCGGCGTGGTGTACAACGCACTGGTGCGATGATGATGTGTGGGCGAAGACGACACCCGCCAGGGGGAAGTCGGTCTGAACTCTTCTGCAGGGAATGGTGCATGGCTTAAAGAGAAAATGGCCCCGATACCAAACCATCCAAGCCTCTTCGTGCGATCACGGAAAGGAATTTCGTTTTTGAAAACAAGCCCGTACCAAAACACCTATATGGCGAGAAGCTTCTGGAAAGAATCCCATGACGCATAAGCTTGCGACATCTTTCCCTTCCGTCTTCAAGAAAATAGTCCGTTTGGTCGAAAGCTGATCGATATTGTTATCGCGACGCACGAGTCCCCTCATCCGGATGCAACCTGAAGTCTTAATTGCAACGAACGCAATATGGCGTTTACGCTTAGGTCCGCATTCAAACTTCTTTAAAGAGGGTGTCTCATATTTGTGTCGAGTTTTGAACTGAAATAACAAACTTGAAGACCATTCGGGGCAGTTCACAGCCTGCCCTTCTTAAGACCTAAACTTCTCTAGTTTCCGAGCTACACGCCGGCGAAAATGTGCCGACTTTTTTGATAGAATATTTCAAAGTGCGGAGATTAAGCACAAACATTGTTCAGTCGTCCATATCTGGCGTTCGTCAGCACGATTTCTAGATAAAACGACCGTCAGCTGGCTCTAAATCAATATTGCGCAAGGTATGATGACGCAATCAAACAACGACGTATGGAGATGCACATTTACTAGAAAGAGATCTATCTATATTTAGCAGCACGTCAATCATTTTAAGTGAACTTATTCCATCATATCCGATGCTTCCTTAAATATCTTCCGGTGCAGAGTATTCCCTTCAATGTGATGATAAAACACACTCACGGAGGATCGCTGAAATATGGAAATTGGTTGCGCCATTCGTTGCATCTAGTTATGTTAACATGACGGTCAGGTGTAGCGCAGCAGTGGGAATGACACGAGTATGTTTATGCCCCCTTAAAATTTTCGGAGGCCCATGATGCCTCCACAGAAGGTTTGGTAACTACGCATATGCTCCCAAAATTCAGACTAACGAGGTCCCATAAATGAGCTAGGGGACACTAATCCGACTCAACAGGCCCTTTTCTGCGTCCAGAAGTTCGTCCCTGGATCAAGATCCCGCCTTCATGCATTTGGAAGTCCGTGATCTGGATCACGAGTCCATATTCTTTGTTAATGACGTCACATTGCTGGCTCGGGAGGTGTTGGACCCCCGATGAAAGCCACGAAACCTCGCATTATGCAACAGAACGCTCCTGTTCTAGATTTCAGATACGTCAGTGCCAATGTGATAGCGGGGGGGGGAGGGGAAGGCACACACCACCAACATCCCCCTGAATATGCCACTGCCCAGGAGACCCCTCGTCAGGAGGCCAGATTTTGTCCAAGAGGCTCGGAGAATTATCTCCAAACTCGAAATCCGTGGTGCCGCCCCCCCCCCCCCCCCAACGGCTGATATCATCCAAGCGGCGAACGTCATTGGCTACAATGAAGGCTATCACGCCTCAATAAGAGTGGGTAGACGTGGTACTAGGAATAGTAGAAATGCTCTGCTCATCATTCTCGCACTCCCACCAAACCAAGCGAGTTTCTAGACAGACGTGACACTCCAGACCCTGCATCCTTCTGACACGACGTTCCATTTGCTACATGGCGCACACCACAGCAGTATTCGCTCCACGTGCACGACACTGTCCGTACCAAACCTGGCGCCCTTGAAAAAACGGCGCGTCACGGCAGCGACTTTCCCGACAAACACCGCGCTCTTCCACACGACATGACCACATGAGGCACCGGCCGACACGCAGGGGGGCGCCTAACGGGCCACCGTCGCCACACGGTGCGTGCTGGCGGCGACGAGAGCGGCACCGCCACCGGCGCCCGCCCCGCACGCACCGCCGGCCGCCGGCGCCGGCCAGCCTCCGCGGCTGAGGCTCGGACGCGCCGACAACCGTCGACGGTCGGACGGAGCGCCGCTGCACGGTGACGCCGGACGGTGACGGCGGCAGCGGTGGACATCGCTTCAGCGCGAGGGACGCCGGCTGCCGGTCAACCGCTCAGGGCAACGTCGCTCCACCCCGCCGGACATCCAGCCCGGCGGGCGGGGCTGCACACTATGCTGCACAACTACTACTGCACACTATGCTGCACAGCATTCGATGCCCCCTGGAAGTCCCCGGGGTAATGCGCGGCATGCTACCACTAACGCAGCTTTCGATGCCACCTGGAAGTCCTCGGAGTAATGTGCGGCATGCGCAGCACGTTCTCCCAGAACAAGCCACATCTGATCGTAATGGCGCAGCCTGGCCAATGTGGCATTGTGACGGTGGCTCCATCTATCGTATCGTATAATTATTCGTTCTCCAGTCATCGCCCGTAGCGTCACCGTTCACACAACGGTTTCGGCCAGTAACGCCTCGTTGTAGACATCCCGTATAACAAAATACTCGCCAGGGTGTTCGGAACGACAACGGCTTAATGTGATGAACGCTCTTGTTTGCATACTAACTTATGACTCCTAGGGGCTGCGAGCGCTAAAGGCACTGGCAACGTCCACCCGCGGCTTTCATAACAGCGACGGGACCTGGCAGATATTTCAAAGACAGCCGTCGTCGTCATGTGTCTGCCATGGCCAATGAATTCCTACGCCAAGCCGACGCCAACGGAAATACGTCCGGACAACAGCTTCATGCATCACTTTCCTCGCACTTGTCATGTTTCCTGCCCGTTAGGAACCTGTCCAGGCCCTGTCATTCGAGCAAACAGCGCCAGTCACTCTTGACATAATTACCAGAGGACCCGTCCCGGCAGGGTGTTGAAGGGATTGTGCGGGTCTCCTTCCCCAAGTGGAATGCAGTCTTGTGCATTAGTTTTGGCAGCAAGTCAGCCAAAGCACCAGTGGGGCCACGCCACCGCTCATGCAATCCGCCATCTTGGCAATCATCAGCGTCGTAAAATACTCGCCGACCATGGGCCGTGCCCTGCAGCGGTGTATAAAGTGACTGCACGGGCCTCCTTCCTCATGCAGTCTTATGTACTTATTTCGGCAGCAAATACGGAAGACCGCTATTAGAGCTACGCAACTGTTCGTGAAATCCGCTATCTTGGCCTCTATCAGCGTCGGCGCAGTAGGCCATTTTCAATACTAGTCGAACAGAACGAGTACTTATCAAGACTTTTGTCCGATACCGCAGTACTAACCGCTTAACCATCTTAAGAGCAAATGTGCGTATTCCACGCACCCGACAGTCCTATAAGCAACAGGGAAGAAAAGTTGTGTTTGCACGCTGCATGCTATAAGTGAGCTATTTGTATCAACATCTTAGCTGCGGTCAGCAATGCGTCAGCTGACCCAACAGAAAGTACGCGATAGCGTCACAATTGCATTTGGAATGGTATTTCGCGCGGATAAAGCCATTTCCAGAAGAATGCAACTATCATCGGACTTTCGGCGCCTTAATCTACCTCTTCCTGGAGCTAACTCGGTTTCGTATGGAAAACACACAATCACTAACAGTGGGTGAAGCTGAGCAGGAAATTGCATCGAAAAGAAGCTGGTTTGACATTTGAGCCAGCCGTCTACACCCCAATTTGCGTATGTCACAACAGCCCGGCGCGGCAGGTGTCTGCCAAATGCAGATGTCCATAGCCATATCTTACCGATACGATTAATTGGACTTTCTGTTGACACCATTAATTAACTAATTGTGCATATATTTAATAAACAGTTCCATCCCGGAAACGCTTTGTACTTTCCGTGCACAACTGATGAGAAGTACAGCACACTGATCGGGGCAAGAAGCAATCCTATCCAACAATTCACGAGCAGGCGGGCTGATCCAACACAAATTCACCGCAACCAATAGCCCGGCCTGTTGCGTCAGTTCGCCTTCTGACAACCGGTGCCGGAGGCAGCAGCCAGCAAGGTTTTCCGCCAAATAGAGCGCACAGTCGCCGAATTACGAGCGGATGGAAAGAGCAGAAGAGCGGGGCGCCGGCGCCCTGAATGGACGGAAGTAGTCCCTGGCTCACAGCCCCTGGTCTGGTAAATGAACGGAAGCGATCCCTGGCTCAAGGCATCGCCAATCGGAAGCACATGCATCCTGAAGTCCAAACAGACATGGGGTGCGTCTGGCCTGGAGCGGCGTGTCTGCCGAGACGTTTGTATTTTGGAGCCGACTCGTCACCATGGGGCGTGCCAAACAGTCGGGGGCAGGACAGCCTGGGATGGCCAACCGCACGACAAGAAGACAGCCTGGGATCGCAAACCGCACGACAAGAACACAGCCTGGGATGGCCAACCGCACGACAAGAAGACAGCCTGGGATCGCCCACCGCACGACAAGAAGACAGCCTGGGATCGCAAACCGCACGACAAGAAGACAGCCTGGGATCGCTAACCGCACGACAAGAAGACAGGCTGGGATCGCCAACCGCACGACGAGACGACAGTCTGGGATCGCCAACCGCACGACAAGAAGACAGCCTGGGATCGCCGACCGCACGACAAGAAGACAGCCTGGGATCGCCAACCGCACGACAAGAAGACAGCCTGCGATCGCCAACCGCACAAGAAGACAGCCTGGGATCGCCAACCGCACGACAAGAAGACAGCCTGGGATCGCCAATCGCACGACAAGAGGACAGCCTGGGGTCGCCAATCGCACGACAAGAACCGGAACACCGAAAGTTGATCAGCTGCATTTCATTCGGCCACTGCTTGAAAAAAAAACACCCGCTCCATGGATACCGGAGCCTTATATGAAAGACCAGGCTGATGACGTGGTCTTTAAGCTCATGTTTCCAGATAGACGTATAGATTATACCACCATACAGATCATTTTTTCAGGGCAAGGGACATCATTTTACCCCATATATTCATGAGTTGTGCACTGCTTGTGAGAGAACCGGCTACATAAGCCATGAAACACAGCTTGAAAGTTAATTTGGCGGAAAGCGATCTGAGACGAGCAACATTCTCGTGGTTTTAATATGAGATCTTTTTTATCCGCCATGTCATGCTTATTCCTTAAAACAGCATGTTGCGTGCTTAAGGTACATCATACATTATGATGTATCATATGTGACCATCCTACATCATATGGAACAAAAGAGCCCGATTTACCATTCCATAGAACAGTTATGGGGGTCGCCTTGATCTTAATCTTGGTACTCTACGTGAAGCTACAATGCCTCCAGTTGGGGAAACAGGGACTTCCCAAAACTTGGAGATAACTGGGGGGGGGGGGCGAGGGGCAAAACATACTCATGCCTGCTGCCTACCGGCAGGAGGGACAACTACCCTCTCCCCAAATGAAGTTATGATACCCACATCAGATCCCCGACATAAGCCACGAGTTTCACAACATTCCACGTGCAAAACCCGTCCATGCGATCCCAGCTAACGCTCGTGCAATGCCTGTAGATGAGCTGGATGAGGACCGGTTGGTGCCCCCCCCCCCCCCCCCCCCACCCCAGGTCGTACCGGTGCGTGTCGCCGATGCTGCACACGCACCGGTACGACCGGCACGGCAGCGAACAGTGAGACGGACGCATCAGCGTTATGACCAGTGACTGATGGCTGCACGCGGCCAGCGGGCGGACCCCGTGGCCGACAATGCGGCTGCGCCCAGCGGCCGCCGTGCTCGTCATGGCCACGCCTACGCATTCGTTACTGCCAGTGACCCTTAAATGTTTCCCCTATCATCTAAAAATACTAACGTATGTGCAATATCTAATCAACCAATTACATTCTGTGCGAGTAAAAAAATTTAAGCGTTAAATTCATAACTGCTGACGTCATTACCCACGCCTCACTAACGCACCGGGAGATTCCCACCGACTTCTCTGCGTATAAAATACTGGGTCTACCCGAATGAATGTCAGGGACGCCGCTGCACACTCCTATGGTGTTGTCCACATCATGCAAACTACCAGCGAGTTCCCTCCGGCCTGACAGGAGCAATGTCCTGCAAAAATGCCGCTGTTCAAATATGTAACGAGCAGTGCACCACTACTCGCCGTGTTTGAGGGTGTTGCGACGCCGTGACAGAACTGGTCGTAACGTACCTCGTACATGTTGACCGAGACACCATCGACCAGGTATCGCAGCTCGTTGTCGATCTGGATGAAGGCTGCAACAATGGAAAACGGCAAGTCAGCTGGCGGCGAGCTCACCGGCGCCCAGGCGGCTGCCGGGCGGTGGCCCCGCGCTGGCGCCGACGGGCCTCGTTCCCTGCGCACCGGCTACGAGACTGGCACATGGGGTGAAGATCTCTTTGATATGATGCAACGCCGACGGGGACGCTTATGAACTCGGCACACAACCGATGGTGAATCTCGGCAACCTACAGGAAAAGCACATTTCCGCAAAGTACCCGATTCGGAGTTGTTGCTTTTTTGCCAATTAAGAGGTCATGACCATTCTGGGTTAATCATGTACTAATTGCCACCCAAAACGACGACCTCCTGTTGTCGACCTCATCCCTTCACCTTGCGTCGTAAAATCGTCTGTTTAACGCAGCCCAAACTCGAGCAGAGACGTTGATTTGACGACTGCAACTGACATTTGGATCGATTGCGTTCAAGCGTTTCTAACAACTGCATTCTTTGAACAGTTGCATACATGCTACTATACCATGTAGTTGCATATAACAACTATTTTAAAATTTATTGAATTTGCTTAGATCTTTACGTGCAACCATTGAAAGCCACGTCAAAAAGGAGATGTCTTGATGACGATGACCGAAGTTTAAGGGCACGCCGACACAGGGGTCATTTTGTAGTCGTAACTAAAGTTAAGAAGGACGACGTTTGCTAACTAAACGGAAAAGTACAACAACAACAAAAAAACTGAAAACTTGACGTCTACACGAAATGTGAACAACTAACTGGAGTTCCTGCAAGGAAGATTTGTGCGTTGAGCGAATTCGACGGCAACGCGTACCACCGAACACCCGGCGTCACTTTCGTGTAACAAACGTCGCTGACGGGAGGGAGGGGGGGGGGGGAGAGGAGTCGCGGCGAGCAGCGACGGCATCGGGTCTCGGCTACAGGGCGGGCCCGGCTTCTGTCGCGTCGGACGATGGCGAACGCGGCCCCCGCCCGGCCGGGTAAGGTCGGTGGTGAGCGCAGGACGCCGCCCAGCCGGGTCAGATCGGTGGTGAGCGCGGGCCGCCGCCACCCAGCGACTAAAAATACGCCTCACCGCCGGCCGCCGCCTTGAACCGACGCCGTGACCACGGGCAAGGAAGGACAGTAGGAAAATGGGGGGGGGGGGGGCACACGACCACGCTCAAGAGAGCAGCGCGATTTCGCTGAGGCAGGCCCACCGCTTCTTGGCTTGAAGGTTGCGATGGGAGAGGATAGGCACTAGCTTCACGAAACACGAACGCGTTGCTTAAACAATCGCCATCATCATCATAATCGTCGTCGTCGTCGAAAGCAATCGTCCTCGTGGGTATGCCTCTGGTGCAGTTACATCGGAAGACCGGCTGAGCATATTCACGGAAGACAGCTGTGGAGTGAGTCAGCGCCGTTGCCTGCACGTTGCTTGAATATTACAATGTCGACATATTTCCCCGGTTTATTCCATCTTCAGGTGGCAGAGGCATTTTGTCCTTGTAAAATGCCAATACATCAGTTTTATATCAAACATATTAAATGGTATGTTTCACATCTGCTAGATAAGCGTGGTTATTACAATAGGTACATCTTTTTTTCCAAAGAACAAGCAGCATTGCGTCAAACAGCCATCTCACACCCATGCGAGGCATTCGAAGCATGCGCCTCTCAGCATGAACGCGTCTCCGCAACATCCCATATTGTCGCCCAGAAGACGCTTACAGGCATTTTTAACAGCGCTGTGTTGTCGCACGCATTTTGGTCGACGGGTAACGACTGAACGGGATGAAACTACGTCACATGGCGCTAGAAGTATAGCACATGAGGGGGCTCAGCCGTCTGAATGTGTTAGGAATATGTGTTGTATGCATGACATCCACGGGCGAACGCTGTTGGCAATAGCGGATAGCAGGTCCGCGCTCAAAGCCTTTTGGGACGGCTGGTGACACTGAACAAAGTACTCGCATTACACCGTTTCAGTTACACTACAACGCACGCAATACTATCTCGCCGTTTTCTGTCACGCGCCAAACAGGCGCAGAAATTACGCGATCTAAGCGCCCGTCAAGGCTGCGAGGCTCGGTGGGCGCCGAATACTGATAGTACGGAACGGACGATAGGGCAGGAGTATTGATAATCTGAGGACAGGAACATTGATAATCTGAGGGGAGGAGCGTTGTTAATCTGAATAAGAACACCCAGAAGCGTAAGATTCATACAATGACAGCATGCTTTCCAAATTCCTGAAGATTTCGATACAAACTGGCCAGTGTTATTATCAAACGTCGGATGTCTGTTATAACCAAAACTGAAGGCGTTGTCGCAGCGAAATATATTCTTGCCAACCAGTAGGCTATCCACAGTTTTGCTTTCAAATGTGACTGTTGATCCAAGTTTACCAATTAGCGGCGAATACTGCCGTCCAAATCTTGTACGTTGCGAGCGCAAGAGCTTTGTACGTAGCAAAAAGTACGTCTGTAGTTATGTTGAGCACGCGGAACAAAGTAATGCGTGTCCAAATGCGGAATGAGTATGTGGTGCATAACATGTTGAGCACGCGGAAACAAGTAATGTGTGTCCAAATGCGGACTGAGTATGTGGCGCAAAATGCACGCCAAAACCTTCGCAATTATTGCGACAACAAAACTTTGTCATAATTTAAAAGCGTCGCTCAGGACCGTTTTTTTAGGTGCTTGATAACCGTGTTTTTATTCGTCGGGCATTACTCCAATGTGGAAACTACAGCTGATAATACCCAGCAGAACAAAAACAAAGCCCCCCACAAACATTTCCGTAAACCCAGCACAGAGATATCATCCGTTTCACAACAGGTCAAGGTAATCGTACTGCATAGCACATTCCACGACCACGTCAGCAAGCACTGGCTGCACGCTGCGAAAGCCCGTGACAACTTTTGAGTTGCTGATCCGCACATCACACTGTGTGAAACGTGCACTAACGGCAGCCGATGGCCCAACACTTAAAATATTCGCTACCTCCGTCAGAGTGGACGTTTGGCATGACATATTCCTTTTTACGGAATTTTGAGCGGAGGATGCATCTCAATGACAGAATCGATTCAAAATATAGTCTGAGCTAAAATATCCTATAAGTCCCATTCTCCCCCCCCCCATTAAGATCACTTGAGTCTTGCGTTCATATAAAAAGATCATTAAATACGTAGCAAAATTGGTGCAATACCTGATGGGGCCATAACGAGGTTAGAGCAGCTTAAAGGGAGTATCAGCTTTTTCAAAAACATGCTCTAGTGAAACCTCAAAACCAGTTACGCATAGTAATACCACTGGGTAGTGCCACTGCACACCGTTATAACAAGGGTACCAATCTTCATAATTCTCAAGTCCAAATTACGCCGCCTACGCTCTGTAACAGCACTACGCTTTTTCCCTGCAGTCACCGTCGCCGTCGTCAAGACAACCGCCGTGGCATCTCTATTGGTGCGAATAAAAGAACGTTTGTAAAGGGCCCGAGGGGCCTGTTACCAGGAGTTGCATTGATTGAGGTTTGAACCGGTGCGTCACTGTAGACCATGTGATACTCCCATCCCCCAAGACAAAAGCGCCTCGAAAATAGCCACTGTGGTAAACGCCGAGTTTAACGCCAGGGGAGAGATCAAAGCCACAGTTAAACGTTTCACTGAATTCGCGGGATACAAGGTTCATATTCACATATCTTGTTGCTTAAACAGTGGTCCAAGCTTTCGTAGCATCTATGACACAACATTGCGACAAATAAGTGTGAAACACACGTTGGAAAATCAAGACAACTTGAATGTACTGCTTTCATAGTGGTACGCAGGGAGCCCAAGGAGATTTCTCCTGCAGAAAAGGCTACTTGAAATCGAAATTATGAGATATTCAGAGGGATTTCGAGAAACTGGCATTTTTGATCAAACGTACACGTCGGATCTAAAAATAAATGAAGAGTACAAAAGCGGTGGCACACTATCTTTAAGTGCGGGGAAATATAGTCAGTCGGGTGGGGGGGGGGGGGGGGAAGAGGGCGGTAAATTCGGCAAGTGCGCAGGCATTTTTCCTCGCACTGAACACGCCGACCTGCAGCACACGCCTTTTTATTTCCGATGACCGGTTTGACGCCGCGCCACAAGCCCGAGCGGCCCGGCCCGCGTCCGTGTTGCTTGCGGTGCGGGCGGGCGTCGGTCTGACTTCGGTCCACGTCGCTGCACTGCCCGCGTGACCTGCGGGCCGGTGCGGCCCGGCGGCGTGCCATCAGCCCACGCCCCACCCTTGTGACCGCAGGTGCCACACCGATCCTGAGCTTTACGGTAACGATTGGGATACGACCCCAGCGCCGACAGCTGTCGGAGCGACTTCCGCTCAACACCTGCCATTCCGCACTTGAAAACCTGGCCGCGCAAGACACACGATAGCACTGCAGCATTGAGCCCGCGCCTATAGATGTGATTCAAGTATCTCACCACCGTGTCAGCTGTTTGATGTTTGCCTCATGCCCCGTATGATTCAGATACGACGGTGACGGCTGAGCTGGACTGGCGCTAGTACGCCGCACGCGGCTGTTGTTGTTGACATCTGCTGAATCGAACGGTGACCCGACGTAGCCGCGCGTTGCATTCCGTTATGCTTGTTGTCTTTCGTCCTGCTATTATCCTGCGCGTGTGTGTTTGCCAGTTGGGACCATCGGACAGCAAACTTATGTTTACGCCACCAGTGATCACAAAAGCCCATCGACACATGAACATAATGCACTGACATTGGTTCTCAGAATCCTAAAAATCATTTGAAATGCGACGAATTGTGTTGACATGGTGGTTGCAAGGGTAGATGAACGGGTTTTATGACGTTTTTCCCCGGGGTTAAATGTGCGATTCCTGGACGCTTTTCGTTCCTGGACGCATTAAAGACTCCATCAGCTGAGGCGAATTTACCCCATTACCGTTACTCGTTTCCATATCATCGGATTCAATATGTCAATAACCTATGCTAATGCTCGCCAAAACCATTAGGCACAA